TCCGGGACGGGTCGCCGCCGTCGCTCGGCCTCAGCACCAGCTCGTGAAACGCCGCCTCCTCCCGGTCCAGCGCCTTCGCCAGCACCAGCTCGGGACGCTGATCCCCGCCGGGGCCCGTCTGCACGGCCAGCGAGAAGTGCTCGTCGCCGCTCAGCTCGTAGCTCTGCAGGGAATTCCGCCCCGAGTCGGGGTCGTGAGCGTCTGGGAGGGGAAACCGAGATCCCGGGCTTGTCGTCTCGCTTATCTTCTCCTCGAGTTCGATTTCTTTGAAGCTCGGGGCGTTGTCGTTAATGTCCGTGACTTCTACTTCGATTTCATAAACCTTCGTTTCCCCCTCCACTATCAGCTCACAGCGCAGCACGCATTGCTCCACCAGCCGGCAAAGCTGCTCTCTGTCGATCCTCTCTGCCGTCACTAAATGTCCCGTCTTCCCGTGCAGAGCAAAATACTGCTTCCTACCTCCGGTGACAACGCGGACGCCGCGGTCTGTGAGCTCCGGCAGCTGCAGCCCCAGATCCTTGGCCACGTCGCCCACGAACGAGCCCTTGGGCATCTCCTCGAGCACCGAGTAGCGCAGCTGCCCCCACGCCGCCTCCCAGGCCGCCAGCAGGACGCCCCACAGCAGCACTCGCTGCCGCCGGCCCCAGCGCCTCCCCGCCGCGCACATCTCCGCCGCCGCACCGCCGGCACCGCAGGCAGACCCCAGCCGCCGCCCGCCGATCCGGCTCTTTTTCCGGTTCCGACTTGGCGCTGTCGGCTGCTGCCGCCCGCTCCTCTGCCTCGCTATAGCACGGCTCCGCACTGCGGGAGAGTTCGGAAACCGACCGTTTTCCGACCCAGGAATCCAGCGATCCAGCGATCGAGCCGGGCCGCAGCGGGCGGGGCTGCAGCGCTCCGACCTTCCTCTCGCTCCTCTCGGTCAACAGCGGCGCCCGCAGCCTCCTCCCGGCACTGCACGCACCGAGCGCGAACGAGACATGCCCGCCCTGCCTCGCCCACGGGAAGCTCAAAAAGACAGCACATTCTCCATGTAAATGTCGGGTCCAGTCCAGCGGAGACCTGGCGTTATGTTCTTTCTACCGCACGGGAAAATATTCATGGGATTCTGATAATATCTAGATACAAAGGTCTCTAAATATGACGTACAGTGTATTATGAATCTGCTATTGTATAACAGGAAAGGTCAACATCTTCCCCGCAACTGCAGAGGTTTTTGTGTCATTCGTGCTCTAGTTTTTCCTCTCTGAGTATCAACACTCGAACATCTCCAGCCACAGTAGATTCCCAGACCCAGAGCAATTGCACATATAAGTGATAAAGTTCCCTTCTCAAAAGGAGGGATTTTAGGGACTGCCTTTCTCTCTCCGCTTTGTTACTCTCCACCTGAACATCCGAGGCTGCTCTGAATCAACCTGCGTTGCTTCCCCTCTCCAGCCATTTCTTTCGAATTTTTCATTACAGCCTTATGCAACAGGCCGTGCATATACAACTTAGTGCTCCGTTCTTGATCACAGCCTTAGCGATAGACCCTATTAACTAGGGAATATATAAATTTTGGGGAAAAAAGATAAAAATGAAACGCAGGTTAAAAGCAAAACCAAACTAACCAATCAACCAACAAACATACAAACAAACAACAAACAAAAAACCCACGCGATTTCTCTTCTAAAACTTATTCAATGTCTCTGTAGAAAAGCCAGTTGAGGACCGGTAAACAAGAGGGAACTACCACACATGATGAAACCCATGACGATAAATAACTGCAGAAAGAGAAAAAATAAACAAAGTTCTGATAAAGTCGGAGACCAATCAGAGATCAATAAAGTGATCTCACTATTGGAGCCATTTATGCAGCTTTCTTACACTAAAAGATGGAGGGCACAGGGTGGAAGACAGGCATAGTTGTGAGTGAAGGAAATTTTTCCTTCATCAAGGCACGTCTCCTTAAAACAGTGAAATAATACAAAAGGTCGCAGTGCAACTATTTTGCAAACCAAGATCAGGAAGGAAAAATCTCATCACTGAGAGTCAATCATACTCCAAACTCTACCACAGAGAATTAGTGGATCTCCTCCAAAAGTAAGGACCTGCCTTCACCGTTACTAACCCATATTACTTCACACAACACAAGGTTCGCAGAAAACCAT